TGTATAAGTAAAAAAAAGAATAGGAAAAGAATAAAAAAAGATACCGAAGGCAAACGGAGAATACTTAAATAAAACATGAGGCCGGAGTCAATGTATTACTTGTCCACGAAACGAGAACGCTATAAAATATAATACATGAAAAGTTGTGTGTAAGGGAAACGTGAAACATGTTTCTAACAGTTTTTAAATTATTAAATTTTAATAATTTAAGTAAATATAAGACGAGAACAAAATAATTCATTCAATTTAAAATTCATTCTAGAGTCTATTAGTAATTCAAGGAAACGTTTTTTTTATGAGTTTTGTTGACTCATCGACATTTTTATTGAATTGAATAACTCATCATTGCACATATATAGTTGGTATGTCAATATAGCTTGAATGGTTTGGATTCCATTCGGTTTTTAGCCCTTTCATTTTTCCGGACTGAAACGGATAGAGAGCTTTTCGTTCTGTTTGCTTTCGAAGCGAGGGGAACTCGGAACTGAAAAAGCTGTGAAAGCTCGGAATTCCAAAAGGGTGGTGTGAGGGTATGGACACAGAGGAATTGTTTGCGCTCCTTTAAATAATTCAATTTCGTCAGGTCAACGCGGTACCTCGTTTAAATTTCAACGCACACGGTTGACGTTTTCTCCCCAAAGACATTTACATTCAACACCACAAAAAATTATTTTTGTATAGTTATTTTCTTTTATTCAGTTTAAATCAAATTTTAACATTTCCTTTTTAAATGTAATAAATGGGATTATTAGAAAATGTATAATTTCGACTTTGTGAACGAGTAGTTTCCTCGGGAATTAAATGGAACTTAAGAAGTAAGAAGAATTAAACCGACTTAAGAAATTGGAATTAAACGATTTTAATCCTTCTCTCTAAAGTTTCCATCTTTTCTTAGATTAACTCTAAGCGCCGCGTTATTTATCGTCGTGGATTTAAGAGTTTAAATTTATTTTATAGCCCAATTACCTTTAAATGTACGTAATTTGTTGGGCTATTTGATGACTTATCGCCTGATCGTGCGTTATCAGGTAATAATGTTTAATAAGTTTGGTATTTTCAATGTTTATTTTAGATAACTTGGGAAAATCGTGTATTGAAAATTTACACTAATCGGTAATTTCAGGTATAAAAGTTTTCTAATAATTCATTTTTTTATTATTTTCTTGATTATTTACTTCAATGGAAACTGTGGCGCCTGTTGTTTATTTAATCTTGATAAGAGTTTTTAGAAAGTCGTTCATCGTTCAACAGAGGATTTCCTGTATTTTCCAATTAGTGGTTCTGATTGACGTTTTTTATTTCATAATTTCATATCATGAGCAATTTTTCAATTTTCAAATACACTCAAATGTTAAGGTTCTTGATTTTGGCTCGTTTAAGATACTTTTTCTTAATTAACATATCGATTTTAATACGTCATTTTAAAATGCAGATTTCAAGCTATCATCTGAGCTATAAATTATTTTCATATCTTTTTGGACATAGGCAGAGCGATATTTTCAATTTTCTAATAAATCTCAAATTAAGCCTGATATTATAAAGGTTGATTTTGGACCGTATCATTAAATTTTTTATAATCAATATGTCGATTCTTATATATCATTTTAGAGTAGAGATTTCAAGCTTTAATTTAAGATATAAATCATTCTTTTATTATCATAAATAAAGTCATGAGCGATTTTTTAATTTTCTAATTCTCAAATACACCCAAATGTTAGAGTTCTTGATCTTGGCTCATTTGGGATACTTTTTCCTAATTAACATATCGATTTTAATACGTCATTTTAAAGCACAGATTTCAAGCTTTCATCTGAGCTATAACTCATTTCTGTATCTGTATGGATAGAATTAGAGCGATGTTTTCAATTTTCTAATAAATCTCAAATTAAGCCAAATATTAAAGGGGTTGATTTTGGACCATATCATTTATTTTCCTATAATCATTATGTCGATTCTTATATATCATTTTACAGTAGAGATTTCAAGCTTTAATTTAAGATACAAATCATTCATTTATATTCGTAAATAAAGTCATGAGCGATTTTTCAATTTTTAAATTATTCTCAAATTTACCCAAATGCTAGGGTTCATCATTTTGGCTCGTTTGAGATACTTTTTCCTAATTAACATATCAATTTTAATACGTCATTTTAAAGCATAGATTTCAAGCTTTCATTTGAGCTATAAATCGTGTATTAAAAATTTACAATAATCGGTAATTTCAGGTATAAAAGTTTTCTAATAATTCATTTTTTTTTTATTATTTCCTTGATTTGCTTCAATAAAAACTGTGGCGCCTGTTTTTTATTTAATCTTGATAAGAGTTTCTAGAAAGTCGTTCATTAGGTAATTCCCAACAGAGAGTTTCCTGTATTTTCCAATTAGTGGTTCTGATTGACGTTTGTTATTTGATAAACAAATCTTTTTTTTGAGTATCAAATCTTTGTTTTAGGAATTGAAATCCACAAATCTGTAATAAAACAATGTTCTTGGTATTAATTAAATTAGGTTTAAGCATTATCTACAAATATCTATTAATCGATTGTGTTTTTTATTGATATTAACATTTTTTGATTAAAATCAACCACAATATTATCCGTATTTAGATATCATTCGATTTAAAAGCCTACAGTTTCTTATCTCGCTTTCCATAGCAATTCTACATTTTCACTGAAATTTTAATTCTGTTTAATACATTTCTTGAAAATATTATAATTCCATATCGATTTTAAGAAAACCTATTAATGTTCTAAACCATTGTGGTTAAGAATCATCAATATTTACCACTTTTCATCACTTTGCGAATTGAATAAATTGATCTTTAAAAAATTTATCTCTACAACAAATAAAGATATAATGATGAAGTAATACATATTTAGACTATTACTTCTTATTTTCCATAAACCTCGTTGTTATGATTTTTTAAACCCAACCCCATATCTTTCTTGATATTGTAAAAATAGATGTTTCAAAGATCGTATCTCTAGAACGAATTGAGATATCATCATGAAATAAAGAACATTTTAAAGCAAATTTGATGTGCCATAAATAATTTCTTGTTTTCCATGAACATTTCTGCTATGATTTTTCAATCTCTGCAGTTTTGGTTATTACAGTTAAAATATAAATTTAAAAAAATCGTATTTCTAGAATGATTTGAGATATCATAATGAAATAAAGAACATTTTAAAGCAAATTTGATGAAGATTTAATGTGCCATAAATAATTTCTTATATTCCATAAATCTGATTAATATCATTTTTTAAACTCCACTCAACATCATTCTTGACATATTGATGTAAGAACTTTAAAAAATTGTATCTCAAGAACAAATTGAGATATCATGACGAAATAACGAACATATTAAAGTTAATTTGATGGTGAATTAGAATATCAAAAATATTTTGTTATATTTCACACTTTTTTCTGTTTTTGTATTTCGTTAAATTATCTCATTTTGCTTGTGACACGTGCGAGTTGGGTTGAGTTGGATTATGATAGAATAAGGGAATAAGATGGATACGCCCATGATCCAACAACAATGTGCTCTTTTTGGATTTGTTCATGATCAGATTTTTTATTGGATCTATACAGTAACTTCCTCAATATTAGATTGATACCCCAATAATTCAGTTATATTTTAGTACTTTTCTACATATTGCTTTCTATTTTTTTATCTCTGAATTGGGGTGATTCTAAAAGCAGGAAATTTAGACTCTGGATATACTTAACTTCTAGGTAATCCATTATTAAATTATGAAAACTGATGGATGTTAATGGAAAAGATAAGTCAAACGATGATTCAAGCATTATACATGCTAATGAGCTGTACACAAATGTATGGACAGAGAATAGAGTAAATTTCAAGTATGGTCTACTAATTTTAAAGAATAACGCGCTGATTGTATGTGAACCAGAACAGTTTAGAGAGCAAATTGTAGAGATGAAGTGGCAGGATTAGACTCTGTGGCCAATGAGTCTAATCAAAAAATACAAGAACCTGTAGTTTACTCACTTTCAAAGAATTTCTTCATAAAAGCAGAGCATTCAGATTTGGTACAACCCAACCCAGTGTAAGTTATCATTTCAAAAACTAATGGTGATTTTAACTTTTGCTATACATATTGAGAGGGTAATCCATCGTACATACAGACAGATGACAGACTTGGTAGTGAGTTGATACAATTATTGTAATGGACATGAGCAGAAAGCGAAAAGTATTAAAATGGTTTCGAGACAAGACGATGACCCGTGCCGATAGAAACGTAGTTATTACACAAATGCCAAGATCACGTGTTAAGATAATTAATTGAGTTAAGTATAATTATATGCGCTGTCCATAAAGAATAACAAATAAAAGGAAATTAAAAATATTGTATCTGAAAAATTAACTTAGAAATCATAATAAGATACTAAATTAAATTAAATCTAGTTTTATTGTGTCATAAATGATTTGTTATTTGCCATAAATCTTGTTGTTATGATGTTTTCAACACAACTGTGCATGTTTAGCAGTTAACGAGGTTAAATTTAAAAATTGTTAAACTTTTTCTCAATCTATGTGTATTAAATATCTTCTCCACCAAAATTAATCAAAAACATCCTCAAGTTTTCCCATACATCGCCATAGAAATCTCCCCATCAAACATAAATCTTCTCCAATACATCCCTAATGTCCCTATAAATCACCCACTTAAACCCACCATTACCCCCCATTTCAAAACTTACCCCAACAACAAAATCTTATCACCTATACCGATAGAGTCGATAGATGATCGCATCTCTACAAGTCTCTTTTTAAGCTCCCCCATCTTTTCACCACGTTAATAATCGTCGCTGCAATTTTCCGATAAGAGCGTCGCGACGCCAACCGACGGTTCTGCAGAGGGTTTCCCTCGATACCGGGAGATTCCTCCCCCACCATCACCAACAGCGCACTCCGAAAGCTTAGTCACCGTGATACCTCGATCCGTCAACTGGCGATCGGCTGGCGACGCCGCATTCAGTTGTATCGCAGCTTGCGATCCCGATGGGTGTCGTTCCTTCCTTTAAAGTTGAGTTGAAAGCGTTTCAAGAAAAGCGTGTTTTGTTTCGAAAAAAATTGAATAAAATTTTTTTTTGAGTGAAAAAAAAATTTCATTACGGATTTTTTATTTTGGAGAAAAAATTTAAGTGATGTCGACCTCGAATCAGCGATTTTCGTCGATGCCCCCCGGCATTCTGGACTCTCCTACGCTCGCCAGGGTTGAAAGAGCAATCTTGCGACACGAGCAGGACGTTGTACTCAGGAATGGGGGACATAGGGAGCACACCCAAAGTAGTATCCCTTATCAACAGGTAATTAAATTACACCTCTCTAAATGCATGCAAAAATTTCGAGTAAAATTAAAATCTTGGAATTTTATGATTAAATATATACGAAAAATAAAGATTACGTTGAAATATTTCATTAATTAGAAAGTTTTATGAAATGTGTTAAAAATAACTTTGATAAAAATCTTTTCTTACTCTTTCTCCCTTGTATTAAGCTCTCTTTTTATTCCATAAATCTGAAGTGCTGGGATGAATGAAATCGATTACGATTCAGCTTTCCCTTCACAATGCGGGGGGACAATGTACGCAGCTTTAACGTTTCTATGCAATAATAGGGGCTGGTCTATTTGACTCTCTCTCCAGGTTATAATCAAAAATCACTAAATACACCAACAATGTTTTTACAAGTATTTACTTAATAAATTAGCTGTGTTTAAAAAGTCTTTTGAAACGCGACGGGGGTTATGTTTATTAATAGAAAGAAAATATTGTGAAAACAGATGTGTTTGAAGACAATGAGATATAGAAAAAATGAGATATAAAAGAAAAGAGATGTAGAAGTGAGAAGCAAAAAAAGGAATTAAAAAAAACAGATAGGGACTTGAAAGGAAGAAGGTTTCTTTTTTTAAAAAATGCTTTGTGGGGTTCTTAAGAAATGTGTTTGATGTGGTTTTCTTCGAAAAACTTCAAAGGGGGCTCAAATAAATCAATAATTGTTTATAATAAATTGTAAATTAAGCTTAATCTTTTTTTTTGTTATCGTATTATGAAATTAATTTTAATTCAATACCTTAATAAATAGTAATTGTTTTATATCAGATGTCTGCGATATGATTTAATCTAACTTGTTTATGTTTCAAATTGCAACAACCATTATGGTTGAGCAACCTCAGATATTATTGTTGAGTACTCAACAATGAAGTATTAATAATGTAAGGGTACAAAATGTCACGTTAATGCACAGATATAAAAATATCTTGTACAAAACCAAGCTGTAAGGTGACGCAAAGATGAAGAAAAAATGTGCATAGATGCAAAATTTCATGTTACGGAAACAATGTGATAAATATGAGCGCAAGAATGAAAATGTGATGTGTATAAGTAAATTATGACGTGTAGAAGCGAAATATGTTCTCCTTAGTGGCAAAACACCATCAGCAGAATCAAAATACCATGTGCATAGGTAAATTATGATATGTTGAAGCAAATCTCAGATGAAGAAATAATTTGATGAATATGTGCAAAAGAAAATGATCTCCTCAATGACAAAATAGTATTAGTAGAATCAAAATATAATGTGCATAGGTTTATTAGAAGCTATAGAAGCTAAATATCAAATACAGAAACAATATGATGAGTATATGTTAAAAAGAATTCTTCTCAATGACAAAATAGCATGAACAGAAACGAAATATTATGCCCAAAAGTTTATTATGATGCATAGAAGCAAAATATCAGATGTAGAAACAATGTAATCAGTATGTTCAGGAGATAATCTTTTCCTCAGGACCAAGATAGTATAACCAGAATCAAAATATGATGCGCAAAAGTTTATTATGATGTGAAGAGTCAAAATATTAGATGCCGACACAATGTGATGAGTATGTGGTGAAAAAAATATTCTTCTCAAGGGCAATATATTATTATTATTATTATTTATAGAAGCAAAAAATTTGTGATGAATATGTGCGGAAGAAAATATTATCATCAGTAGCAAAACAACATGATCAGAATCAAAATATCGTGCGCACATGTAAATTATGAGAATTATGATGTGTCTTGAAGTCAAAGTCAGATGCAGAAACAATACCATAATCTTGTTTAATAAAAGATTTTTGTAACAAAGGAAATTTCGTAGATAAATAATCAAGAAAGTGAAACTTGAGCTGCAAATTGCTTAGAACAAATTTTGATGAGGTTGGTCATAAATTTTAATTCAGTGGGGGAGTCTCTTTACAAAAAAAAGCGAAAGATAATGTAAAACTTTCTAAATTTAAACAAAATTGTTTTACTTAAAACTGTTAAAATCGACCCGGTGAAATTCAAATATAAATTAAACCTCCCTTTAAATTGCACACTTGTTCGAACTTGCCGTAAATAAACAGCGAGTATTTTGCGCGAGAGGTCATTACGTACAGTTGCTTTGATGGCTACATTAGCATAGAAAACCAGACTTTCTAGCAAATAACAACTTCCATCACAGCGTATAACGTTTTTGATGTTTAACGTTTCGCTTTTCTGTATTAAAACTAAGGTCAACAAAAATTTCTGGCACAAAAGACTTGTTTTCTTAAATACTTAACCGTAATTAGTTTTTAATTAACGGCGCCAGTCGTCTAATGATAACAGAAATAATGCGAAAATTAGTAGGAATTAGATAAACGTAAAAAAATGGAATGAGGTTTTCAATAAAAAACACGTTGTGTCAGCATGGTCGTATTAGGAATCGTGTAAGGTTATGACCTACATTAAAAACCAAGTTTAACTGTATACTTTACCTTTTTAAATAAATACTTTAAATTATTTTGAATCGAGTGATGAATCTCACCTGATCAAGAAATATTTGATTCTTATCAATTTTTAGAATTCAGAAATAATCAGGAACGCGAATACCAAGAAATATATAATTGCAGTGGGTTTTTGGAAATTTTAGATAAAATTCTACTTAAATTGTTTAAATAATTTTATTGTATCGAGTTTGTAAAGTGTTTGATACTTTGACGTACAAAATCTGTATAAATAGCCCAAGTTCACAGTACAACTATTTTTACTCTTTTATTTTCACCGAAAAATCTGGTTTATTTTGAGTTTTCCGAGATTTCCTATAACTGTTATTTGGTTCTATTTTCAGCTTATTTCAAAACATTTTTTTTTAATTATCTGTTTTGTTTCATAAATTATTTGCCGTTTTCTACTTATTTCATTTAAAACACAAGCTTTTAACTTCGGCCAACCCAACTGTTTATAAAACGAGGTTTTATCATTTAAAACCCGCGTAACAAACAAGGAAATTCCCATGTACTCAACTCCTCGGCATTGTTTCCGAGCAATTCCGTTTTATAAATTGCAGTTGCTCCGTTACTTCTCCCATTTTCCTCCGTTTGTCTTTTCCACAAATTCAAATCGCGTTATGTTAATTTTTTTCACTACAATCTTTATCTATTTTTGTATGATGTATAGTTGTGAAATAAAAAAATGAGGAAATGAAAAATTTTGCCGTTTAGAATTCTTTATAAATTACAATCCTCCTTGAACTCATCCGAGGGGGGAAAACAACAGACGCCTTTCTCTCTGCATAGAATTCGTGTTTGTGCGCGAAAGGCTATCAAAAGAAAGTGATAACAATGCTGCAAACCGGAAATGAATCGCCTGCTGGCGAACAGGACGTTGACCGACGCAAACTCGTCATAGTTTTACTTAAAAAAGATCAGTTTCTTCTCGAAACAAGGAAATGAAGAAGATGAAACAAAAACCTAGTCGTTCCGTTAGCTCTCCCACCATCTCTCCAAATCAAAATCCAGTTTTATAAATTTGCATACTTAATTACTAACATAAATTAGCTCGTTAAATTTTGACCTAAAAATGTATGTTGAAAAATCGAAATACGTTGTTTATTTATTTTCTTGAAACGACGACCTAGAAATGCAATTACGCGCTGATAAAAATGTTTCGTTCTACAACTCGGTGTGTTATCAACAAATGCAAGTGTTCAACACGAGCTGATTACGAAGTCGTACAATAAATCCAGTTAAAATCGGAAGAAACAAATTGGTCTCTAATCAACCGATTCGGAAGTCTTTGTCGGCCGATGATTAAAAGGGGGACGTTTTGAATGACTCCGTTCATTAGAACCATTCGCTATCAATGAATCCTTATCTAAATCCTCAACATATTATCAAATCACAATTCCAACAGATGGTAAACCTCAAAATGAAATTTTATTTCGATTAGATTTGACTTCAAAGACAAGAACAATTCATTCTATTCTTTATAGATTAACGAAGAAGCTTGAATTTTTATCTATATAACAGAGTATTAAAGAAAATGATAACGAGCAATTAATAGAAACTATCTTATTTATCGCTGTCAGATGGTCCTTTATCTTGAAAAGGCAATTAAACGCTTGTTTATGGGTTATTTATACTTGTAAATATAGAGATATAAATTTTTTTATTAGTATAAAGAAAAATTGATTTTTTTTATTCTTTATGAATCATATTTATGATAATTTAAACGGAATTGTTAAAATTCTAACGGCAATTCCACAAATTTTACTGCTTCATAAATCAAATGTGTCGAGCAATCGATAACCACTCCACGCGAACAATTTACTGTTATAAAAGGTTAAACGCAGTTAGATCAATAAATTCAAGACAAGCGTAATGACTCTAACATCTGCTAAATGAGCGTATTTTCCTGTTGCTGCAATCATGATATTTAGAACACCCAATTGGTTGGAAATAAATATTAAAATTTACATACAAGAAAGTTCTGGCTAGAAATGTATAATTCTATCAAATCCAACAAACAATTAAAACAATTACTATTTAGGTTATAACAATTTATATACTATAACCTTTTTTAAATATAGAGGTGAAATTGTGAAATATGTTGTGGTTAAAGTGAATGTGTTAAAACAAAAAATATATTTGTTGTTTCAAATAATGAAATAAAAAAGTTTTGGATGGATAAAGTGAAATATAAAGTGAAAAAGAACTTGATACTTGGGCATAATCTTAGGTTTTTTCCACAAATTACAATTTATAACCAAAACTAGTTAAAATTTTCCTACAGTTTTCTGGGCATGTTGCTGTACACTATATGTAGATTTGAGATGGCCCCAGAAGAAATAATCAAGTGCATTACCCAGGTTAAACTTCGTTCAGGAAAATATGGGACCAAATCCATCTTTCTGAAAAAAGACCCACATTTTTTATCCACTTTTATCTACGCAGTTTGGCTCTGTACAATGAGCATGTATCAATCATTAAACGCATCGAGATTCAACCAATAAGGTATTCATTGGCGTAGACCTAATCATAGGGGTAATAACCCTGGCTGTCCGTAATTATTTGCTGATTAATTTCCTGCAATCCAGCTAGTTTCATTGGGCTACGACTCTATTTGGTGTGTAATAATTCACATGTATCCCCAAGAATACTTTAATATTCTCCCAATTACACACTACTTATAATCGATACAATCTCCTTTTCCTTTAGCAATACCTTTAGTATTGCTGTATATATATATTTCTTCTGTAATAGTTACTAATATTGTTTCGCATCATCCTTAACGAAGTCTACCTTGTCAACAGAATCTATAAAAATATTCTCCTTGCGCTCTTTGAAGTAGCATTTTAGACAATGCTGATTTCTTCTTGACAATGCTGGCCACCAATTTGAGCCTGAATCTCATTATTCTTGCACTTTCACCACCATCTACAAAGATAGCTAATTTTCGAGTTTAGGTCAGTCTTCGGGATAAACTTAATTTGTTCATTGCTGGAACATTCACGAGCATATGTTTATGGGTAAATTCCAATACATATTTAAGATTCATTATATTCGTGTAACTGTCAAAATCGTCGTTATGATATAATATTCGCGAAGGTTTTTGAGATTATTAAAACTCAGAACTTCTGTAATAGTTAGTGTGAAAATGAAACTTTAAAGGAAGTAAAAAGACCGTAGTTTCCAATTATAAATGCAAAACCATTGTTAAAATTGAAATGGAAAAGTTATCGGAACTCAAATTGAAAAGTACTCAAAACTTTTTGAGAAATTGTTTTAACGGAAATTAATTTAAAGATTAAAAAATCCCCTTTCTCGAAGAAAATAGATAATTAAAAATTATATAAATAAATATTGTAGACATCCACAAATGAATCACTTCCTGATTAAACACATACAAATGAAATTTAATCGTTATCACATTGTTCTATTTTTTTCCGCCTACATAATCACCAAACTTTTTTTATTCCCCGCATAAAAAACTAAAGATAAAAAACGTCCAGTTACTCGTTGTATTTTTGTATCCTACATAAAGATAGACACAGAAATTTACTACAATGTGTCTATAGTTAGAGCTTACTCACGCTCGATTATCATACTTTCGCGTAATTATCCGGCCAAAGCAGAAACGGGAGCTTCGCTGCGCCTATTATTCTCCACGCACTTCCTTTTTTACGAGTACTTCTTGAATCATCCGACGCAACCAGATGGTTTAGAGAAGACAGCGCGGAAAAAGAGGGGCGACAACTCTTAATTGCGAAAGGAATGAAAATGCCATTCAAGCAACCAACCAACCAAGCGCTCTTTTGAATTGACCAGAAGGTCGCGTTAACGTTCGAGTTTATTCGAAACGAACGAATATTACACAATTTGTTGACTGGATACTGCATAATAAGCACGATATTAATTAATTCGAGCTAACGCAGTTATATTTCCGCAACACCTGTTGCTATACTTGAAAATGTCTATTAATAAAGTCACGTAAATTATTTGATACAATTTCAATTTCTTAATCATAATATATTTTGTAATGCAGCTGCAACATAATCTATAAAATCGTGTATCGTAAAATGTTGTAATCCAGCTGCTTTTAAATGAAAAAAACAGACATTATAAAGAGATCATTCACATTTAAGTCTTCTCTTTGCCCACCAGTGTTAATTAAGTGTTTGTTAATCTATTTCTGCCCAATTCAACATCAACAACGTCCATTTAGATTACTTGACATAAGGGTCAAACGTTTCTTGTTATTAAGAATGGTTCTTTTAGAACCATCAATAAAGAAAGAAAATGTTTAAATTGTAAATTTAAAGAATATCTGGTTTAAATGGTTCAAATAAACACGTTTTTGAAAACCTGCTTTGTCTTTAACTCTCGGGAGACGGTCACAAAGAACCTCTTCACCGCGTCAAAAAACGTCACATGTGGCCACACGATGCGTTTGCGGTCGTTTTGAGGAAGTTACCCTTATACGACTTCCGGTGTATTATGTATTCTACTCTCGGGTAGTAGAATGGATATTGTTTCTGAGAAGAGTACTCATTTTTCTCTTAACCATCTTTTTTTTTCTTTCATTCTAATATTTTGTTTTATTTTATTTTAGTCTCTTCTTTCTAATTATGGGAGAGAAGGTCATACAGCAATAAAACGTGGGTTATTATGGCAACAACGAGGAAAAATGTTTAGTAGATGGAAGGAACGTTATTTTATCTTAACGCGGGATTATCTCCATTGCTTTAGAAGAGCTTCCGGGGCGGATCGGATCTCCGATATGGGCCAGTTCCTCTTCAAAATCAAACTTATGGAGCTAACACGAGTCGAATGGGAGAACAAGAAGACTTATAGCACGGTCGCTTTGATCCTCGACCGAGACAATAAGATATATCTCCGAGCTTCCGACGGTTTAGAGGATTGGTTTGAACTTTTGGAAGAATGCACTCTTATCAGTAAAGAAAGGAGAAGAAATCAAAGGTTTTCTGTTGATAGTAAAGCCAAAGATGTTAAGATGTCGTCGTCTTTTGATAACTGGATAGCTGCTAGACAAAAAATTCGTAAGTTTTAATTATTTGCATTAATTTTTTATGTATATAGTAAAATAAAATTGTCCTTCTTGTCTTTAATGTCACGTTACGTGTTTTACGATAGCGGCACCTGCGATGACGTACCCGCATATTTTGTAGGTGCGGTCATAAATTTATTAATAATACAGGGTTATTACGGTGAAGCTTCATTTATGGAATAGGTGGTTCGTTTATAATGGTGTATCAAATTATAAAGTCTCTTTATTTCAAAATAAATTGGAAATATCTCTACTCGTTAAAATATTTCAATAATCTAGTTTGTCAATATAATTAAGCAGCATGCTTGAATAACCAAAGTAATTGAACACTCTAATAATGATATAATGATATAATCACGTGTACCCATGTGTTTGTGATTATAAGGAAAAATGTATCTTTCCCGTTATCTATAAGCAAACAATTAATATCAAACGGCACTTATTTTTTTGTACGTACAATCACCGTTGTTGTATAACATTACGGATTAATTCTCAAGGTTTGCGAAATAAAATAAAATTTATTTCTATAGAAGGGCGTGTCGCAACTATTTCAATTATACCTATTACACACCAATCCAACAAAGAATTGCTTTGTTTAAAAAAAGGGAACGATTTCAAACTTTTTTTTTACTTTTTTTTCCTAACGAACTTGATATCTTAAGTAAATGTTGTAATCGTTCCAAAGTGATTACAACATGATGTATAAACTAATCTTAAAGAAAGGAATTCGATTTGAAGGAAAAAAATTATTTTATAAACTAAGTGAGATATCACGATGATTTTAAAACAAGATTTTAAATCAAAATTAATCTAGATTTAGTGTTTAGTAATAATTTATAAGTAAAAGTACGCAACACTTGGAACAAAATCGTTTATGGATTATGTTTTTATGATTTATTATGCACAATTTTTATTGATATCATTCTTACCCACAACTTTTCATTTTTGAGTTAAAAGTAATTTTGTTGTTAAACACTTCAAATTTATCAAATTTGAGGTTTTGAACCCGCTAGGTTGGTAATACTCATTCTTAGGTTGTAATCATTTTTGGAAAACATTTTCTTGGTTCATTACAAGCAATTCACATCTACAACATTTTTTCATATAATTTTTATTTTTCGAGTTATAACAAAAATATGCCCAAAATCGTCAATTTAAAGATTTGGGGATTTTATGATTTATAAGTAAATGTACGTTATAGTTGAAACAACATCGTTTATGGATTATGTTTTTATGATTTATTATGAACAATTTTTATTAATATCATTCTTGCCCACAACTTTTAATTTTTGAATTAAAAGTAATTTTGTTGTTAAACACTTCACATTTGTAAAGTTTGAGGTTTTGAATCCGCTAGGTTGGTAATACTCATTCTTAGGTTGTAATCATTTTTGGAAAACATTTTCTTGGTTCATTACAAGCAATTCACATCTATAACATTTTTTCATATCATTTTTATTTTTCGAGTTATAACAAAAATATGCCCAAAATCGTCAATTTAAAGATTTGGGGATTTTATGATTTATAAGTAAAAGTACGTTATAGTTGAAACAAAATCGTTTATGAATTATGTTTTTATGACTTATTATGAACAATTTTTATTAATATCATTCTAATCCACAACTTTTTATTTTTGAGTTACAACTGATTTTGTTGTTAAACACTTCAAATTTGTAAGGTTTGAGGTTTAGAATCCGCTAGGTTGGTAATACTCATTCTTAGGTTGTAATCATTTTTGGAAAACATTTTCTTGATTCATTACAAGTAATCCACATCTACAACATTTTTTCATATCATTATTATTTTTCGAGTTATAACAAAAATATGCGCAAAATCGTTAATCTATAGATTTGGGGATTTTATGATTTATAAGTAAAAGTACGCAATTCTTGGAACAAAATCGTTTATGGATTATATTTTTATGATTTATTATGCTCAATTTTTGTTAATATCATTCTTATCCACAACTTTTTATTTTTGAGTTACAACTGATTTTGTTGTTAAACATTTTAAATTTGTAAAGTTTGGGTTTTTGAATCCGCTAGGTTGGTAGTCCTCACTCATTGTTAGGTTGTAATCAATTTTGGAAAACATTTTTTGATTCATTACAAGCAATCGACATCTACAACATTTTTTTATATCATTTTTATTTTTCGAGTTATAATAAAAATATGCGTAAAATCGTTAATTTAGAGATTTGAGGATTTTATGGTTTATAACTAATAACACACAACAATTGGGACGATATCGTTTATAGATAATATTTATGTTTCATTATAAACAATTTTTATTAATGTAATTCATATCGCTAATCTTTAGTTTTTAAGTTCTCTACCTCATTTTCTTGTTAAATACCTCAAATTTAAAATGAATAATTTTTAAATCCGTAAAGTTGGTAATAGTTACAATAAAATATATTAAAATAGAAGTATTCCGAACTTTGTACGACCCATTTAGGATTTTGTTCAAATTTTTGTTCCCTTCTGTATATGTATAACTCTTGTATTTATGATTTTTAAAATAATCTTTCAAATTAAATTAAATAATTCTTATAAATAATCTTAACTTAATTAATTTTTTCATCGTAATCATTCGAAAATACGAAAATGCTGAATTTGGTGATTTTGAAAAAGCTTATAAATCAAAAATGGAATGATACAAAAACGATTTTTGCATGAAAAATGTTCATTGTCAACCTGAAACGCGATTTCAATGCACGATTATAACTCATCGATTAGTTTCGCCAAGCTGAAATAAAACAGTTTTGAAATTGATGATTTAAATAATTATTTTGTAACAAAAATAAGCTTTTTGTGAATGTTGTAATCTGTTAATTACATTGTGACACACGCTACATAATAAACTCATTGACACTCTACTTTAAGAGTAAGATTACACATTGATGTGGAGGAGAACCAATATTTAAGCTGTCGTTGAACGACTCCTTGTTTAAACAAATAATGACATCACAACCATTTCGGTTGTTTTATATTTTTTAAAACACGTTTTTTTGAATTTCATCTTTTTTTATTAAAAGCCTTTTTGTTACGCAAATATTTGTTCACCTCGATAATATTAGTTTATACATTTTTTAAGGTTATTTATAAATTGGTGATCTTGTTACACATCCGGTTTTGTTTAAAAAGGGGTTTAATGTTTGTTTAATATACTAACTTTTTTTCTTCTTCTCCGCTTTAAGCCGGAGCTAGTTTCTTCAAAGCAGGAGGAAGTATTTATTTACAATTTTTTTTCTCTTTCAGCAACGGAACAGAAGCAGTACACCGATACTGTTAGCACGAACCAAAATTCGGTTAAAGAGGATTGCTGGTTACCGTCGGAGGATGAAAGCGAGAATCCCATTTACAACAATCGATTATCACGTAAGTAACTTGTGCATATAGACGGGTGAATTTACCACGATGACCTAGTTATTCTCAGTATTAAATTAACGAACTCCATTATAAGTACGGAAACGATGATTTCAATGATAACGATGATGTCTATTTTGTAGAGAAAGTAAACTTGTTTTATAGGAACGAAAGCTTTAAGATTGTCCAATTAGTTGAATCGTTAAGAGATTTCAAACATCTGGAGTGAATCTCATTTTCCATCTCTTAAACAATTTTTATTGCTACTTAATATTTTTTTATTTCGTGTCGGTTTAAAAGATTTTTCCTTGAAGAAACTTTTATTTATGTATTTTGGAGTTATGAATCACTTCTTATGAACTCATTTTCTTTGTTGAGATTGTGAAATCATTTACAAAAATGTTGTTTAAACATTAAATAATTTCAATTTCCTTATAAAAAGTTTTTAATAACCAATAACTACTTACTTCAATAAAAGGCACACACGCGTGCTTATTGCGTAGTTTCCTGCATACGATTGAGGATGTGATGCAAGAAATGTTAAACAAAACCCGTTGAAGTTGTCGACGACGACTACAACGAAGGAAGTCGTCTCAAACGGCTCGGTTTCTAACGATTAATCCGTAATTAATGCACAATCGGGAATTGGGTACGCGCTTTCCTTCGCAACGCTTTCTTGTTTCTCGTTTCCTCCAACCGGATCGAAGTCTTTAACAATAACGAGAAGGAAAAAAACATGATTTTACGAGAAGAATTTCGCATATAGAAGAAAATTGAAAGAGACTGCGATGATGATGATAATGAAAAGGGAAAGAGACTTTCTTTTTTTGGTTTAATAGATAACAAAGATTGAGGTTTTAATAGAAAATATTGATTAAAGTTTAAATTGTTTTGATCGTTATATCTATTATTATTTGAACACTTTCAAAAAGAAAAAAAAACAAAGTAATCATTATTGTGCAATAAACGTGACTTGGTTGCAATCGAATTTCGCGTCTTATTTTATTACCTTACTAACTTATTCTGAACGCACAAGTAGGTTACTCGGCTGCTTTTTCCCTTCTTATTCACCATGACGTGCCAAATACATTAATAGTGATGAAAGTAAAACATTAAACGATTTTAATTTTAACATGTTAAATCTTATTAAATATTAATCAAAAACATTTATTAATTAATAATTAATTAATTTTTTTTCTTTCAGTGTTAACCGATATTGATATTAACGCTTACGACACGGATACATTGGAAGCAATTTCTGTAACTTCTTATAGAATGAGTGAAGACATCCTATGTATACAGCCACCTTATCTAAGAGTTTCCGGATCGTTTAGGTCCAGCAGAGAACCCGTCAGGGAGGTTAAAAGGCCCAAAGAAGTCCCCCCGGAGGTCGCTCCGCAACAGCTTATAAAATTTCGAGGTAAGTAAAGGGACAAGTTCGTGGCGACGTCGTCTAAATAGGTTTAGCTACACGTCCTTTGGGTCGGTCGAAAAGACCTTTTATGTCCCTTGAAAATTTTATTACACGATCCGAAAAGACGACAACAGAAAATTGTTGCGACAGAAAATATTTTCGTCTTTTAAAGGATTTGTGACGTAATTTTTCTTTTCTTTATTTTGGATTGTAAAAGTTTAAACATTTTTTAGGGCTATCTTATCTTTCTTTGTGAATCATATGTCTCGATTGATATTCAATGTAAACAAAGACGTGTTTTACAAGAACATTGATATAATCTTTTTTTAAACTATTTAATATAATACAATCAAAACTATCATTATAAGAACCTCCAATTACAGCCTTTATTTCAATTTCAATACAGTTTCTTGGCTGTCCATAATTAATCCAAATAAACAGTGAAATATAAACAACACATTATCTTACGTAAACACAATTTTCCCGAGATTAAGATATTATGTTGGTTATGAAGTTGACAAAGAAAATTTACTCAAAGTTTAAGTTACAAAAAGAATTGTCTATTTTGAATACCACAAATAAATTAAGCAACCTTATTAACTCTACACACAAATGAGAGAAAAGTTTATTTCTTAAAAAAAGTGTTGTTTATCTTCTTTTAAAATTGATATTGACATCAATTAAAAGTGATGTTTTTGATTAAGAACTTGGATATTGTCAATAAACTTGTCTCTTTTGCCTAACTAGTCTAGACTTTGCAAAATTAACCTGACTTTCCTTACCAGACAATTTTTGTCTTAACGTCGTTATTAAAGTTCAATTATTAATTATTTTATGGCAAAACGAATTTTTTAAGTTCAAACTAACGATAAAAAATTCTCAAACGTTATGAAAATCATGTATAAATATGTGCCAAGACTATCATCGTGAGTAAATAAGTAAAAATGTGCTTTGTTAAATGGTTCTTATACTTTCTATTTTAAATATCTGAAAGGAATTTTAAATATTTCTTGTTGCCCAAACAGTTTGGAAAACTAAAGCAAGACTAACAAATTAAAATATGTGATTGAGGTTGAAACGAAATAGGGACATCAAGCACCATAACTAAATCAGCTCTTTGAAACGACAAAATCATCCACAAAAGATCCACCACAATTTCCAGCAAAGTTTGTTTCTGAGCTTAATATATTTTACTGTTAGAAAGTCTGTGGTTTAGTGCCATAAAGCTGTAACTTATGATTGCATTAACTAAGAAACCGCAGATTCGTCTTCAATTGTGCAAATAACATTACACTAATAGATGAGAAACTTTTCACCATAAACAAAGCTATCAATAAACTCTCGGATTGTTACTTTTTCGACCAGAAACGTATACCAGAAAGATGGCGATGTTACCAGAACAGGAGAGGAGTTAGTAAAACTCAATATTAAAAGCTGATATGAATCAAAGAATGATTTTTGAAAAGTGTTTTACACTTATTGTATAAAGTTCTTTCTTACTAAAATTTGCAGCTTAGCAGTTTATACACATTTTTTCCTTTACCAGTATTCTGTTCTTTCTTGGACAGAAAGTTTTTTAAACTTGTAATAATGTATTTCATGATCCTTCGAGTGAGAGATTACTGCCAACATTTTAAATTGATTCTTGAGATAGCCCAAACCGTCTTGCAAATCAGACAATAACAGGTGTAGTGTATATATTAGACATAACCTATCTCGGTAACATGATTTTCTTGTCTTAGACTCAAATAGAATTGTTTCTTAACTCCAAAAAATAATTTAGTGAAGTTAGAAGTTAATTTGAATTCAAAAGGGCCTTAGCCAATCATATAAAATTATATAAAACACATCCTCATTACCTTACCTTAGTTTCTTTAGTATTTTGGCTTTATTATTTCTGGTCTATCCCTTTTTTCTGAATTCTTCCTAATATCTTACTTATTCATAGCAACTTTAATTCTAACTCAATTAGTAATTTATTCTTTTTATCTGGTACCTTCCTAGTTTCTGATGTGTTTCTGGATTTTCTTCTTGATCTTGGCGCTTTTCTGGCACTCCCTTTGTGTCCCCCCTTGCTTTTTCCTGCTCTATTTGAAATGTAGCATGATTAACAATAACATCTATCTTTGGGTTGATGAGAAGAATCATGTTGTGAGACTTTACTGATTCTTTCTCCCAAACTGCCTTTTCAAGTATCTTGCTTATATTTTGTGGTTTTTAGGTTTATTTAAGTTTTTTGACAAACTTTCGAATTTTTCTTTTTGTTTACATTTTCCACTTGGTTTTTTAGATTCCTAAACAATTTGAACTAGATCTTAAGAAATCGTCTATTTAAAGTTTGCAATTCATTATTTTCCATTTTAAATGACTTTAGGATACTTTATTTATTAATTTATTATCATATTTTTTATGAATTAATAACAATAGTGACATAATCAATCTTATATCCCATGTGTTACACTTCTGGTTTCGCGAGAATTCGTCTCTGTAACACTTACATAAGTGTGTTGCGGAGAGAAACTTTTTTTGAACATCTGCAAACTGTTTGCAAATACTGAAAAACATATGGCGTTGTTTGTAATCGAATTTAAACTCCACTTTTAAAACCCGCCATTAACTCCGTAATTGTATATTTATTTTTAATTTTGTTAACATTACCAAATAAATTTAAAGTTTCTTTTTTGAGTGATTGTAAAATTTCGAAATTTCTTGTTGCAGAGCGTTCGTACAGCGACATCCAGCGGGTAGACAGAAGACAGTGGCGCGCGAGATACAACGGCGAGTAAACAGATGGAGCCGCTAGTCACGATTATTTCATCGTTTATAAATCTGCTCTGTGGACGATGTTCATTCCCGTTTTTAAATTATATTATTATCGATGTTAATGAGAATGAGGAGTCCCTTTATTGCTGTATTACAAAGGGCCCTTGTAACCCTGTCCTACCAAAGAAAAATAAATGTATGAGAAATCGGGACGCTCGATTTTCTCCTCTTCATATCCAAGTGTATCTCGATTTTTAGATATAGAATGGATAGATGTTATTTAAATTTTTATTAATATTAATAGATATTAATAGATGGCGATATTTTTCGTTTTTTTTTGTAAGTTTTAGGACATGATCTGTTTAAATTGGTTTATTTTCATTATTTGTGGATGAATAAATAATCAATAAATAAAATATATAATTGGTTTTATTTCTTTATTCATTAATTATATTGATGAATTTTATTTAGAATTTCATCACTATACAGAGTCGCTGTATAAAGCTAAAGTAAGATAGCTAACAAAAAACGTTAAGATACAAAAATTTTAGATGTTTTTTAAATTTTTCTTTAATGGAACACCTGTGTATCATAAACCTAAACCTAACCGTTTTCGAGATAATCGAACTTTGAAATTGTCTTATAAATTACACAAAAATATTTTAGTCAATTATGTTTATAGTTCATCAAGTTACCTTAGAAAGTTTCTCATCTCCATAGCAACCTAGTATGTCACTATGATTTGCTGTCAGAATAGTTCAGTACCGGAATAAGACACCTGTCTGAAATAATGACGAATGAACTCTGACTTTTCAGTTAACTGTTATATAGTGAAAACCTTCCTTACATGAATTTTGTTTAGAATTTCAAGATGAATTAAAGTATGGAATAATATACAGGTGTTCCATTAAAAAAAAACGTAACTTTGTTTGTCCGCAACTTTGTCCAGCGATCTAGCAACACCGCTCGCCACGGCGTTGCAAGATCGTTAGTTTCGTCATAACTTTTTGACTGACCCTGTATACCTAATTTGTCTTTACTGTTATAGATTTAAAAAAAAAGCACTAAAACTTTTGTATCTTAACATATTTTGTTAGCTATCTTAGTTTAGGAAACAACCGAACGTTTCGATACATGAGCGACCCTGTATTTTGGTCAATATTTTGCAGAGGAAACGAATCTGGGGCTAATGACGTTTTTGGGGTTGCTAGGCAACATTGTTGTCAGGACAGGAGCGCATGGATGTGGAAAAGCGGGGTTGTAAAGATTCCCAGAAAATATTCGGCTTTGTTGAAGTAATCACTTCTCTGTTTCAACTATTAAAAAATGTGAAAATTAACCACCTAAAAAAAATAATTTAATAAAAACTAAACCTTTTTCATTTATTATTTAAATAATCTCTTTAAATAATCAAAAAAAAAAATTTACGTGAACACAATAAAAAAATATACCTTAAAAGGTAAGTTTAAATGTGTAACAATATAAAAATATTTAAATTTGGCGCTTTTAAATAAACGGGTGGTGCAACCTACCGATAAATTTTTAATTTAACATAACGCGTTAATTACCAAGGTCGGCGTATAGATGGCGCCATCATTCTAATATGTTAAATATGTCTGACCATGTGATCGACAGTTACGCGACTGAAACTTTGAGGTTAGTTAGGCGGTGATTGTCGATTTGACGTTGTTCCGCGTACATTTCAAACTTGAATTAAGGTTAATTTGAAGGGTTTTTATAATGTATTTTATTAGAAAATATCGGTTGACAGGTGCAGTTTGATGTTTTGCCCCTAACCTTGAATACGTCCAATGAGAGAGTGCGCCAGTGTCTTTCGGCCAATAGAAATCGCCAAAGCGCCAGGGTCAACAAATCCTTGTGAAATAGCAGAGTTTTCGGCGGCCATGTTGAAAACAACCTTTACTTGGACGTGTGTGATTTTTTAAACGATTTTCGCTCCATTTTCCACGGATTTTCACCCTTTTCTTCGTTATGGGCACGGTGCGGTGAGTTCTTGTACGACGGTTCGCGTTTTAAGTGCCACCGTACGTTCTGCTCGAGTGACACTTGGCGTGTTTTGATAAATGTGAGACCTTGAATTGTGTTTGGCTGGACGGAAGATAATTTTCGGCAGTTTCGGATACATCTCATTATGAATTATATTATTTCAGGTAAGTTTATGGGTTTATTAAAGGTGTACTTGTTGAAATTGTTACAGTAATCGTCTCGATTTTGTTTAAAACTCATTCTAAAATGTGGGTTTGTTAATCGATATAGGTTAGGTTCACTTTTTTATAACCAGCCTCCTATATTGGTAAACACGACTATCCCACATTTTATTTATTCAAATTTACTTTTTATATCCATATTTTTTGTTTACAAATATGTTCCATATTCAATTTTATTCATATTTTGATGGAAGTTATTTAAAATTTTAATTGAATCCCTAAAAAACTCATCTATATATCTTTATTCAAACGTTTTTTTTTTAGTATGTACAGAGGAAGTCAAAATCAGTATTCCAAGATATTACTATTGATTACTAATTAATTAAATAATTACACGTCTCAAAAAACGTTCAAATACGTTCTACACTTAAGTTAAATTTACACTTTGATTTTTATTTTTAGAACAACTTGTTTTAAATTTGGCATGAACATATTTTCAAATATTTGGATTTAAATATAGGATGAATGAATAATGAATTTTATATACAGGGTGTGTCAGGTATGAATAAAAAAATTATGTTGTAAAATTAGTAACACAATAAACCATTCTTTATCCTTCTTAAGATATGACAGGATAAAGTTAAGAGTTCGCAAGTTTGAGTACTACTAGATAATGAATTATACTAAGCAGGCTTTGCTTATGTATTGCTTTAATATTGACACAAACGTTTATTTGAAAAACTATTAAATTATTCCGAATATAATCTTTTAATACACTGATGCTGCAAGGCTACAATATTCTGTACAATTTCCTAACCGCCGTTTGCCAAATGTACAAAAGTTTATTAATGTAGTTCGAAGACTTTGACTAACTGGTCAGTTACAACCCAAAATGAAAGATCGCGGTCCTTAAAAAGATTTCACTCATGAAGATAAAATTTTGGAAAGCATTGAAAACAATCCGTAATACATCACATATGTCTGTTTGGAGAATTTTACATCATAACTTGTTGTATTCCATCCCACAAAAGATCAAAAGTTACCGGCAGATTATCCTCTAAGGGTCGAGTTTTGTGTGTGGTGAACTGATCAAAATTCCGTCGATAATCAGCTCATTAATAAAATTATGTGGACGGATGAGGCGTGTTTCAGTCGTCAAGGAATTCAAAATTACCACAATAATCATACCTAGAGTTATGAAAATTCACTTTCTATACAAGAACGGCGGTTTCAACATCAGTTATTGGTGACGTTTTGTTGGGTCCGTATTTTATAGCAAACCGGTTAATATTTACGGAGATTCATATTTACAACATCTACAAGGTATACCAGATGTTGTACCTTTGCAATACATAAGGAATTTCATATTTATGCATGATGGCGCCCCGCCACATTTTAGTAGAAATGTGGGTAATTGGATAAATGCAACAATCCCCTGTCGTTTAGGACGTCATGGTCCTATAAATCGATGCCTAGATTTAAATATGATGGATTTTTTCTGCTGGGGCTACATAGTGTACAGTGATGAAATTGAAGATCTCGCGAATTTACGTTTACGAATTGAAAATGCCTTTGAAAATGTATCTATCAGGAATAAATTTTCGAATGTGACGTTTAGAACTTAATGTACTCATTGCAAAATGAAATTTGTACTCTTTAATCCAGGAAAGAGAGTGTTGAATTATACCAAATCCCCTTATCCAGTAAAACACGGTAAGTATTTTAATCCATTCAAATTCGGCGATTTGCGGGCAAATCCACCCTTATAGTCTAATCCGCCCTATAATTATGTGAAAGTGCGACATTACCAAATTTACTCATTAACGTGGTGATCTTTTCCAAATAGTCGAAAAAGTAATAAATATTCAGTTATTATTTTAATTTACTTCACAACAAGCACTATACTCTCAGTAGTAATTGGCACATTTAATGCATGGAATACTGATTAATAAGTTAGAAACGCATATACTGTGTCGTTTGAAATTGCTATATTTACACCGTTTGATATTTAGATCAGATGGTCCAAATATATCATGTTCAAACAGTGCAAATGAACTCCGCAATTTAAATCAATGTCATTTTGAATACACGCTAACTATTACGTAGTTAGCGCCAATCTCGATATGTGACGTTGTACTTCATTACTGTGATGACTGTGAATACCCTTCTTTATATAGTGTAAGTGTCATTTTTCCGTGCAATTTTGGAATTTATTAAGTAGTCGGATACAAGTAGGATTATTAAAAATCGATTAATAAGGGTGAGTAATAAGGATCTGTGTATAAAGGATATAATAATAATATATAATAGATTAAATTGAGAAGGAAAAAGTTTTCTTGTGTGAAGTCTATGATTACTTCAGCTATAAATCAAAATTGCATATGGATTTAATTTTTATACTGTATTCTTATCCATGACGAATATGCTAGAGGTCATGAAAAAAAAGGTGTTGAACATCCCCATTGCTAGTTGTAGGTTTTTTGGATGAAGTGGTTACAAGAGAAGAACTGAAACTTCGGTGATCAGTATGCTCAACCTCGGACCAATTATGTGCCAGACTCTGATATATGCAAATGATATAGTTCTCATTTCAGCCTAGGAGAGGAAATTGTAACTGGCTGTACTCGAGTGGTCAGAAACTCGAAAGGAGAGGGGCATGATGCTGAACAAGATGAAGAGTCAAATCGCAGAGAAACAGGTGGATAACATCCACATCGAATCCAAATATGCAGCTATCAATATGTAGACACAGCAATCCACTAGACGGGCAAGCTTACTGATGAGGTCAGTAACAGAGTGCACAAAGCTACCAAGGCTTAGTATATCCTCAGTCGGTGTATGTTTGGAAAGGATTATGTAAGCCGGCAGGCCAAGACAAGGGTTTATAAAGCGGTCATTGAGCCTATACTTACCTATAGCAGTGAAAGCTTGGCCGTAAATAGACGGGACATCAGTAGATGCGGTCTAAATGAAATGCCTCCGGAGGGATGCAAGAAAGACGACGACACAGAGTACGAAACAGCCAGCATTCGAGAATATGCAGCCAGTCGAAAAGATGACTGAGAACAATTTGGGAAGATATAGTAATGTAGAAGACTATGTAGTAGCTCAAGGGTCTTGCTGGGGAGAGGGAACACTTCAAAAAATGGATCCGTGTACATCTCCCCCTAATGCCACGATAGGGGCACGCTGGAGAAAAGAAAGAAGAACAAGATGTTGTATTCTTAGTCATTTTTTGCACAATTCGTAGATGGGGATGGAGCTAAGAAAAAGGGGAATTAGTGAACATCTAATAGAAAGGATAGAATATACTCGGAGATTTTTATAATATATCAATACTTTTTTACTAAATGACATTTTTGAACGAGATTAATGGTTTTATAAAACCCATCTTTAATTTAATCCAAAAGCCTGAACCGTTGATTAACGTCTCACTTAGCATCCATTAGTAATCAATTTTTGATTGGAGGTGTCGTTAATGTTATTTTAAAAACCATTATTCGATTAGCGATTGGGTAAGTGGTTCGAACGATTAGCGCGCGCATAAAGTTAATGTGACGTTAACATAGCTTTATTAAACTGAATCGTGATTAAAGTGATACTGTTTATAGAAATAGAAAAAATAGAATAGAAGATTAGGGAAATATATAAAGATCACATCTAAGAAGGTGTTGTTACAAATAAATGGATAAAAGCTCCAAACATTGCAAAAATTGCCAATTCAAGTAGATAACGTTTCGCGCAGTCTTAGGCGAGCGATTTAAATCGTCTCTATCTTTCTCACACACGTGACTAGTTAAATGTTTAATTAACACTATAACTTTGCTTGAATAAAAATCTATCCCATACTTAAACGATTTTTAATTTATTACTTTTCCCACGATCGTGGAATTAGCCACAGATATAAAAATAAAACAATAGGTGCTTTTGCGCGTATGATACCTTCACTAACTTTACACGCATTAAAAGCAACGTTTATTATCCGCATCCAAACTTTTTAAAGTTATAATTGTCCATAATTGATTTCGTAACCGCAGTACTCGGTTTGATTCAAAATTAGTTCAAAACAGTTATAAATCACGAGTTAGTGATTTGACCGTCAGTGCAAACTTTAATAATGCTGTTACAAATGAAGATATATCACGTAGTGGCTATTTCCATTGAACGGAAAAATTAATAAAACTAAAGATTAGAATTTGGTTAAAAATATTCACTCTTTTCCGGTTAACCTGTTTTGCTTAAATGTTTGGTCCAAATTTTGTTACTGCACTAATTCTATGATAAGTGAAAATTTGTAGTGGTTGGATAAAGTTCTAAATTTCGATGCTTTTTCGACCTAAATAATTGATAAACCATTAAACTGTTCGGAACTATAGAACTCTTGAACTAAAACTGGCCTAATGAGAACTCCTTAATAAGTTTTCCTCTGTCAAATTGCCGAAAACGATAGCACTTTAGTATTTGCTTTTTTCCTAAATCATGTGTTATCTGTCATTATTCTACACACAAGATATCGAGGTAAGCAGTAAAAAAATATTTAATGCGTTTATCAATTAGTTTTTTAATTACCTTTTCTTCTAAGCACCTATTAGCGGATGAAAAAAACCTTGATGAAAGGTAATTGAAAAATCCAATTAATCATTAAATAATCAATAAACTACTAACGAAATGTGATTAAGAAAAAAATTTTAACGATCAAAAAATAGTTTTCAATACATTCGTTTTTCGATGAATTTCTCACTTTTGTCTTAAATATCGTTGATGATTAATCAAACCCATATAAAGTCAGTCGGTATCGAAAAGCATGTTGTTTGCGATATTGCAACGGAAAGGAAAACGACATTAAGTAGTGTGTGGTGTTTTTAGTGTATCGATGTATCAGTTCGTTTCGTATACTATGTACACTAACACATAAAAACGCACACAAACGGAAATTCCCTCGCATACACGGAAAGAGTCTACCAAACAGAGAGTCCGTCAGACGTTTGCACGCAATTCGAGCA